TAGGCATGAACCACCAGTTCCTGGGTCAGCCATCATATCTCACAAAAAGGCACACATATTCCTTGTATGTAATATGTGATATGTGGTTTAATGAACTTCTCAGGCTGGAACATAAAGCTCTGTTGACACAGTAATTTCACTATGATATCTAAATAGGCTTGAGTGTAAGGAGAGGAAGAACAAACACAAATGGTTTCACATTGGTCAATCCTTTAAAAATTCCAATTGGGTTTATAAATTCACTGATGTATGCTATCATAAGAAGGGGACACATCCTTAAAGGATAGAAGGCATGAAGCTAGGTTAGCTCATAGTCTTATGAGTTGCATTAGCTAATTACATGGTAGGGAATTTGTAGAGATACAACCATTTGTGGGAGAGTTCTACACAAAGCCACAGACAATTAATGGAGCCCTATATTTTTAGAGGTGCCTGATGCCTCCATCACACAGATTAGGTAGCTTAAAAAACATCCTCAGTGCCAGGTGCCAGTGTCTCATGCCTGTAATGCTAACTATGCACGAGGCTGAGATCTAAGGATCTTGGTTCGAAACAGGCCCAGTTAGAAGAGTCCCCTTGAGACTCTTATCTCCAATCCTGGAAGTGGCACTGTGGCTCAAGTGTTAGAGCACTAGCCTTGAGCACAAAATGGCTCTGGGAGAGTGCCCAGGCTGTGAGTTCAAGCCCCACAACTGACAAAAAGAAAAAACAAATCTTCAGTGAAACTTAGTTTTAGAAGCTACCATGAAACCTCAAAGAGATACTTCAGATTCATTCACACACAGTGATCTGCAACTTCAAGAAAAAGCGTTCTCTTAATATTTGGATAGCAGTCTCCGTATGCTTTTATAGCATCAGACTTACTTCTCTGAGGGCTGTGGTTTCTGAAAGGTAAATGAATAGAGGGTGTGGGTATTTGTGGGAAAAAAATAAAGCTAGAGTTTATGGGAATTAAAAGGAACCTGTTCTAGTAGCCTTTAGGTTACCTTCCTGAAGGTCTCTTTGGTTTGAGATCTCAGTGGAGTTGAGGTTAAGGGAAAGACTCTGGAGTAAACACGAAGACTTAGTACACCAGGACATAATAAATTATACAGGACTCTAGGCATTCACACACAGTGAGACCAAAGGAGGACTCTCTTATGGGTGGAACATAATGGTGCAATGCTTATGTGTCTTTGATCATATAATATTTATCGAAGTGAACTTCAGGAAATGGAAACAAGGGTTTTTTCTTTGTTGTTGTTATTTTTGCTTTCTTTTCTTTTTGTCTTGTTTGTTCAGTTATTTGTCTTGGGGAGGGTAAAATGGGACACAGAAATGGAGGGACAACAGGTAAACAAAAGCAGCAGTGGTAGTCACTAGACACTATGTTGAAAATTAACTATAGAAGCTGTGGGTAGGGATGGGAGGGAAAAACTAGGAGAGAGTAAGAGGGAAGGGGGGACACTGTCCAAAAAGAAATACGCTCTTTATCTGACTTATATAACTGTAACCCCTTTGTATCACTTTTATAATAACACAAAAAAATTTAATGAAGCCTTAGCATTATATTAGGCTACAAAGGAGATGCAATTCACAGATGTTTTAAGGGTGATTTGTTAGTTGTGGTCAAGGCTGGAGGCTGACATCTTTCAACAGTCCCTTTCCCAAAGCTGAGTCAAGTACCTGTGGGGTGACCATTCCACTGTTCTATATTTAACCTACAATAGTTGGACTACATTGCTTAGAAACTTATCTTCGAATTAATCTCCTGAACCTTGATGCTGTATAGAGCTAAAGCAGAAAAGTCTATGTCTTCTTTATCATTCCTTACCGATACCTACCAAACACAAGGCTACATTAGTAGTTATATTTGTTAGTAGTAAATATTTGATGATTAAATGATTGAATGGACAAGTGCTTCTTGGGTAGAGTAAGAAACTGTCCAAGAGATGTGAAATTACAAACAAATTAGAATGAAAGGGAGCACAGTGAGAGAACTCCCAACAAGGAGGATTGTGCGTTGTCACTTAAAGTTCAAGATCCTTTGGTGACTTGTTATTGTTTTCTCTTCTCTCTCCTGTTTTGACTTTGCTTATTCCAAACAGACGGGGAGGTGAGGCAAGGTTTCCTCTCACTTTGTTCTCTTTCCTGTGTATGTGTGAGATAGTTTCGCCATGTTTCCTTTTTGGAAAGTAAGATATTCCTGTCTGCCAGCACATACCTGTGACCTTCTATGATGATGCTAGAGATGAGGAAGGTGGGGGTGGGCAGTCACAGAAGCCATGATTCCTAGCAGCCTCCTGTTGGGAGAGTCTCTCCTCCTACTTTTAGGGCTGAGTCCCTTCTCCTTTCCCTTTTGCCTCCAATTCTAGTGATATTTCTTCAGGAACTAGGGAAGGCTGACAGAATGGATTTCTACATTACTAATTTAATACTCTTACAGTGTATACAGATCTGGGTCAGAAAGACTTCCTGTGTCTTGTGATCGTTTATTAAGTTGGTAGCAAGTAAGTCTTTTCTGGGCCCTTCACAAAGCACCAGCAGTTCAGACCTCACCCCTCACCCCACCTCTTGATCATCCTAAAATAAGAATAAGCCACAGGTGTGATGGGCCTTTCCACCATCCAGTGCTTAATGCAGGCTGGCCCTCATGTCCTTGCCCTGCTGCAGTGATCCGTGCAGCCTGCGAATGTCTCCTCGGTCAAAAGACTCCACAAAACAGCACTTCCTCTCTCCATTCCTGCCCTCATATAGCATAATATAGCCTGCTAGTTTGTGTTCTGTATTGTCATAGGCTCCTGTCACAGTAGTTAAATACTGTATTACGTACAGTATGTAGTATGTGTGTGTGTGTGTGTGTGTGTGTGTGTGCACGTGTGCATGCATGCATGCATGTGCGCATACCAATAGTGGGGCTTGAACTCAGGGTACTCTCCCTTCATTTTTTTTCACCCAAGGTTGGTACTCTGCCACTTAAGCCACACCCCCCATTTCTGGCTTTTTGATGGTTTATTGGAGATAAGAGTCTTAATAGCCATTCCTGCCTGGGCTGGCTTCAAAACTCAATTGTCAGATCTCAGCTTCCTGAGTAGCTGGATTATGGATATGAGCCACTGGTGCCCAGCCAGTCTCTATCTTTTTTAATATCAACATTTCTCCCCAGCAAGCTCCCGAGGTCTGTACACACTATGAGAAGAGTAGTAAGTAGAAATGCTGTAGTTTTAAAGACCTTACTACTGAGTAATAGAATTGTGTGTGTGTGTGTGTGTGTGTGTGTGTGTGTGTGTGTGTGTGGTGTGTGTGTGTGTGTGTGTGTGTGGTGTGTGTGTTGTATGCATGGGAGAGAGAGAGAGAGCACATGAAAGCACCTTCAATCTAGACTGTCTCTATGAAGATAGAAATGTGTTAACAAGGGATTTCCTAAGGTGTTAAAAAGACATAAGTATTAAATATGTAGGAAAAGTTCTTCCTGTTTTATAAAGTTTATCCAGTCACTCCATTCTTCCTAGTCATGATTTAATATAACCATTGATATATTCTGAGGAATTGTGTAGACATGACTAATATCATAGTCATCATTTATATTTATTTCAGTTTATATTTTCCGGGTTTAATTTAAGATCATTGCCTTTTATCTAAACTTACTTATTAGATTAATTAGATTTATTGGGGAAAAATTCTCTTTGGTGGGGTTTTCCTGTTGAGATAATTATGTTTCTATGCCTGTAGAGGTCCTGAGTGCTGTAAGGAGGGCTTAAGGTCAGAAGTCTTGTAGGAAGAGAAAAGTAGCAGCTACATTTGGTAGCACCATCTGTGAGATTTGAGAAACATCCATGTTCACAGCAGGGATTTATGTGGTGTGGGTTACAAGACGACGCTTCCTTGACTCTGAGGTTTTGTGGTAGTAAGCGGGGTTGGGGCCAGGGTGGGGGGAGGGGGCTGTATTAGGATGACAGAGATGAAAGAGTGAGTGGAAAATACAGTCAAAGGGGCCACCCAGAAGACTGAAATTCACCATCTGCAGAACTGCTATGGCTGGATAAGGCTAGTGACAATATGAAAGAAAAAAGAGCACGTTGGCCATAGCAAACCCTGAGAATTTGGGCAGCCACTTTCAGTGGGGCAACGAAGGTAAATTCATTGTAGCCAACTTACTATGACCTCTTTATGGCTTATCCATATTCCTTCATGAAAGGCATAGCTGATGCACAAAGCTAGACCAAGAATAATTTCGTTTGCTTTTCTTCTTATTCCTGCTTTTTTCTTTTCGGGGTACTGGAATTGAAACTTAGGGTATTATGCTCACTAGGCAGATGTTCTACCACTTGATCCATATCCTATCCATTTTTTACATCAAGTCTTAAGCTTTTTGCCCAAGTTGCCCTTGGACCATGATCTTCCTGCTTCTACCTCTGTGTACCTGGGATTATAGGCAGGAACCACTGTCTCTGGGCCATATTACTGAATTTTCTACTCAATCCTGAAAACATTCAACTAGCTACACAGAAAGTGAGCAAAAGTAGGTTTAAGACTTTGCTCAGTCTTCTTCCTTTGTCTTTCAAAACAATGTCACCTCAGGTAAATTGAAATAGGGAATTTTTTTCACCACCAAATGGCAATATAAAACCATCCATGTTCTAGTCTGACAAAGAAGGTTACTGAGAAGAAAATTTGGAAGAAAATTTGAGGGACTTCAAGGAGCTAGACTATAGGGTAAGATGGGAAGGAGGAAGTATAATAGTTATTCAAGAAAATAAATACGTATTTCTCTGTAGCTCCTCAAAAGTCCCCTCTCAGTCCTGTGTTGGGGGTGAGGGGTATGCCTTCTGATCTTGTTTCTTGAGTAAGAAGGAAGAATGGGTAGTGTGGTACTTCCTTCTTTGTCCCTAAATCTCATATACAGTATCAGCACTGGTTATGTAGACATCCCAGTGTATGCTGGCCACCAGCACAGAGTGAGCAATGCAAGACACTGGTGCTGCTGGGCCCCGTTCTGATCCAACTTTCTCTTCTTGCAGGTGCACACATCTTGACCGACACTACAGCAAGCTGGATTTTCTTTGCATTTAAAGAAAAAAAATGTGCCTGTGTCTGTAGAGATGATTTGCAGTTCAGCCCGGCTGAAGCTGACCGAATGAGACTATGGGCTGTGCCTCCGCTAAGCATGTTGCTACTGTTCAAAATGAAGAGGAAGCCCAGAAAGGGAAGAATTACCAGAACGGAGATGTGTTTGGAGGTGAGATCTGGCACTCTGTGCCCTGGACTAACAGGGCCAAGGCCTTTCACTTTTGTGGCAATGAATTGTAGTGATTGGTAGCATATCCTGATGGGGTGTATGGGTGATGAGACCTGATGGAAATCAGGCAGACCCTTTTATGTTGGGTAGTCAACATCAAACTTTGTGCAGAGAGACTTGAGGGAGGCTCATGGAAATGTTCTACAGCAATCAGCCTGTTCATCAAGCTTTAAAAATCAATTTGTTTTTAAATAGGTACATAAGACAGTCGCTACAAGTGGCCTGGTTGGGAACACTAAGACTCTACCAAAGTAGAGTGAACAGGGCTTATTCATGACAGAGTGAGACCTATTTAAGGATGGATAGAGTAAACTATATATTTTCACATTCAAAGACTCAAATCTAATGATGATTCTAAATGACGCTAATCTCTCTAGTATGAAGTTTACAAACTGTCAGTGTATCAGGTCTGTCAATCTTTGCTTTCACACCATCACCAAAGAATTTTTAAATAAAAATCAAGGCCAGGCAAGTGTAGCTCATATTTGTAATCCTAGCTAATGAGTAGACTGAGCCCTGGGAGACTGCTTTGAAGCTAGAGCAAGCAGAAAGTTCTGTGAGACTCCATCTCCAAAATAACCAGAGTCAAGACATGGCTCAAGTGGTAGTTAAGCAGACTTGAATGAAAAAACTGAGCATTAGTGTGAAGTCCTGAGTTTAAGCCCTAGAACAACACACACACACACACACACACACACACACACACACACACACACACACACACACACACACACACACACACGAACAGACAGACAAAACACCAACAAGTAAGGCAGCCTTTAAAAATAAGAATGTCTCAACTTAAAAGTTGAGAAAAGAAGTTCTGGCTACCCTGGCTCTTCAGTCTTCAGGTAACAATATGCCAATGGCTTCTAGGGAACTGTTGACCTTAACCTGTAGATGTTACTAATCCCAGAGCCCTGTTTGGCACTGCCCACCTGACCACTTACCCAGCTTGTGAGTTTGTCCCTTGGAAGATCAAGTCTGCTCTGATGAAGCAGGCATATGTGAACACAGTTCCAGTTAGTCTAAGTGGCGAAGGATTCCGATTTTGCTGAACAGTTTCAACCATTCTGACTCCTCCTTGACACTGGGTAGCCCTCTCATTTATGAGAACTGCCTCTTCAGCTTTTACTGACTAGGAAACACCATTGAGGTAATGTTTCCTTGAGTTGTACCATTCAGTCACTATCAAACAATACCATTACTTGTTCAGTGTCTAGCTTCAGTTCTTCGTAATGGTTGTTCTGGTCATTTGGGGCAGACTGGGAATGCTGAGTTAGAATCTGTGTTGTGTTAAAATGTGCTAGGGTGCAGGGAAAGGAAGATTGGGTTTGTTTTAAAGAGATACAATTGTTTCTGAGAATAAATTGGCCTTTCACGGTAACTACCTATAGGATTTAGACCTGCAGAGAAAAATAATGGATAGATGAGCATCTCAATGAAACTTGATCTAGAACATTGAAATCATGGTGTCTGGGAAAAGGGCTAATTGAAACCAGAGTCATTACTGTCACCATTAAATACTTACCTCTTAAGACAAAATAACAGACTAGTTCTGTGTCATGTTCCATCATTATTATTTTTACAATAGAGCTGCCATGTATGAACTGCTGCCATAAGTTGGACATCGTGAAGCATTTACATTCATTTTCATGTTGAATAATCACAACAGTCCTGTTAAATATGTGCCATCCCAATTTTGCATCTCTAAGGGCTGCAGCACCGACAGACAATCTGGTACAGGGTTGCCTGGCTACCAGTTAACAGCATCAGCATCTCTCAGACTTGATTCTGCCTCTCTTTCTCCATGTCATTTCCTGGTGCCTGGCTGTCTCCTCTGGGTCACTCATCTTTTAATGTTATACTGTGTGTAAGGCCTTTTTCTAAATGCCATGGAGATTACAGAAGCAAATAATCCACAAATCTTGCTTTCTAGGACTCCAGGAGAGGATAAGGAAGTGATTCAACACAGAACAAGCCAAATACCAGAAAAGGAAAAGAAATCCATTGTGATAAAAATCAGAGGGATAACATGGGGAACTTAGCATGCAGAATCAGAGCTGATTTCTTACAGAGGTTGCATCTGAACCTGGCCTTCCAGGGCTGGAAGAATCTAAACCTGTTGGATAAAAAAGCTAAGTAAGGAAAGACTAGGAGCAATGTGAAACTTACTCAAGAATTATGAGTAATTGAGTTTAAGCTAGAGAAAGCTAAGTGTTAAACTATAGAAAACTAAGTTACACTATTTAGAAAGATCATCTTAAGGGCAAGATTGGGTGATACTTTAATAGAGTATACTATACTTACATTCTGCTTAGCAGTGAGGTCACCTAACCATTTTATGATTTAGTTATAATTTGGAGAGCCAGGATGAGTCTAATGGACCAAACATACCTTACAAGTGTTAACATCTGAAGACTAGCCTTTTACTAGTTAACTGTGGCTCGTATTACACATCTCCCAATTTCAGCCTGGTTGTCAGAGTCATAAGCCAGTAAGGGCTACACTGCCCTTCCACAGAAGGTCAAGAGTGTGAGTCACACGCAGGATGCCTTTGAAGCCTGGATTTTGAGCTGTCTCACTATCACTTGCATCTTCATTTTACTAGCCAAAGCAGGTGGTGACACGAAGCAACCTGAAGTGAAGAAGTAGAAAGTTCACTCTGATAATGATGTACATCCAGAGTTGAGAATTGGAATTAACCAGCCTACTCCAAGACTGTCATGTCTCTTTTGTCTTGGTGGTCCCATGTATTCCATACCCATAAAGTGTGTAATTAAGGAAAGCCTTCACCAAATTGTTTTCATCCTTCCAACACTCACTGAAGTTGTATTTGCTCCAGCATTCATGATCTTGTTAGTTCATCTAACATAAACATTTGCAGGTTCATGGGATGATGTTAAGTAACATCATCAGAGTGAACAGAACTTTATCAAGTAGAAACGTTTTCTAGCTCTGTCAGAGCTCTGGAAATAAGATGGACAAAAATCTAAGATCAAGATAAGTGACAGTACTCCAGATATTTCTGGATGCTAGAGTTTAAATATGAAAAAGGAAAAGTCCTATCTAGGATACTATACTTATATTAGTTTGCAAGAAGTTTACAGAATCCCAAGATGATCACAGATGGAGGCAGGTGACTAGAATTTCTGGCTCATTTTAACCATTTGATATTGTTGTCACCCATTGGTCCAGTGATCTGATATTGAACAATAAATTACTTCAAACTCAGTAGCTTGTAACCGCACTAATTCGTTATTTCTCATGATTCCATGGGATGGCTGGAGTCCATTTGCTATTCTCCCCTGGACCCAGTCACAAAACGAATTTCAGCGGACACCACTGCCTTTGATGTCCCAAGACCATTTTTCCGAGCCAGGTAGCCATACTTTCACATGGTGTCTGCCATCCATGGGAGGAAGTAGAAATATTACTTTTGTTTCATTGAGTTGATCAAAGCAAGTAACAAGACCAGTCAGGAAGTCAGAGACTCTCCATCTCTGAGTTGGAGGGAAGAATTCATTGGCAGCTATCTTTGGAGATTGGTACCATACCCATTGGAGAGGCAATTTACAATTCCATGACTGCACATTCTTTTTCACTGAACAGAATGGCCTCATTCGCTTTTTAAAAGTTAAATGTTTTAAAAATATTTTGAAAATGTTATTTCAACATATTGGAGATTTGCAGAATCTGTGAAGGGCAGCATATTTGGGATAGCTCTGAGTGTGAATACATGCTCATATTTGATTCTTTTCCCAAAGGTGTTAATTTCATAGTGTCTGAAGACATGCTGGGGAGCTATAATATTGATGTCTTTACACAAATGGTAATTTTTGCTTTTATGATGCAACTTGGTCTCCATAATGTTGGGGTTATTTAGAAGACCCGGCACTCCAAATGCATGTGATAGAATTTCTGTAGAACTCCACCATCCAGAATCAAATGTCAGCTAGGTATGCAGACTCTTAGATTTCAAAGAAATCAGGAAATCATCAATGAGAAACTTTATCACTATTATTTACCTGTACATTTCCTTTTACTGAATGTTAAAGTGCCAGATCAAAATCCACTTCAGCTGGTGTGGCCTTTTCAGAAGTCAAATTCTGCTAGAAAGGCACATTTCTGTATTGGAATTTCTTTCTCTCAGTGGTCAGGGGAGATGAAATAATAGTGAGATAGTCATTCAGAGGACAGCTGGGCACATTGCCAAAACAAGTTTGCAAAAGATAACCAAACAATGCTTGATAGGAAATGTACTCATTACCTTGCTCATGTAACTGTAACCCCTTTGTACAGTATTCTTACAATAAAAATGTACAAAAATAAATAAATAGATAGATAGAAAGATAGATAGATAGATAGATAGATAGATAGATAGATAGATAGATAGATAGATAGATAACCAGCAAATTCAAATGATCATTAACTAATTAAGCAAGTTGTAAGGAAAGCCAAGTGCCTACTGGACTTCTTTCAACAGTCATTCACTTAGAGTGTTAAGGTAGAACAGAGTCAGATCCTGAGACCATCATCAGATTTCTAGCCGAGCCCCAATGTGGGAAAAAAATAACAACTCCACATGGACTTTCCCCTTTGCTCTTTTGTTTCGGTTCTCCCACGATTGCAGGTTTTAGACTTGAGCTGCTTTGGGCTCTTGCAGTTCCCTGGTCTTCTGAGTCTTACTCTTTTCTAGCATCATAGTCAAGGTTGTTATAACCTGTCACCTGGAGGATGGCAGGGTCCCTCTAAGCTGTCTCCAGTTGTCTTCCTTATGATCCAGTTGTTTCTTTGCTTGTGTTTGCTGTTCAGAATTTTTACTTGGTTTATTAACTGAATTTTTGCATCACTGGGTTGCTTTTTCTAAAGTTTTCCTCTGCTTGTGTTCATTCTTGTGCTGCAGAACTTTCCAGATGTTTCTAGTTCTGCAACAATGA